ACGCCGCCTTGTACGCTGGTTCAGGGATCTTGTTCAGCTTGCGCCGCAGCAACTGTTGACTCCTTGTGAGAGAAGGTAGCGCGCCTCTGCATCCGAGATTAGTCCAGTCCGTGCCCTCGTCGCCAATGCTCCCATCGGAGTCGTACTTGCCCCCCCCCGTGCTGCCGGCCGCGCCACCTCCCCCTGACTTCCCCTTGCTTTCTCCGCTTGGCCCTTGTTTCTTCTTGCTACCCCCATCGCTCTTCGCCGTCCGCTTGCGCTTCGATTGCGCCAGCGGCCCGTCGTCATCTTCCAGCTGCGACTTCTTCGTGCTCGTGCGTTGCCGCTTCAACGTCGTCTCCGCACTCCCCGCCGCCATCCTCCTTTTCACCGGCACAGGTGACGGCAGCGAAGTGTCGCCGTCGCCCTCTCCTCCAGACCGGGCGACGGAGATGATAGCGTCGAACTCAGCTTCAAAATCGGCACCGAGCTCTAGAACGTGGAAGTGGTGGTGGCGAGACACCGTATTTTTGTCACCCCCAACTTCGGTTCTCGCTTCCCAACTACTCCTGCTGCGGTATAACAGGTGCACCCACTTAAGCCCCTCTTCGTCGTGCTTGATTTTTTTGTCAAACAGGAAGAGGCCCCACATGTTCTTGTACAGCTGCACCAACTGCCCTCTCCCGGTAGGCTCCCAAACCGCAATGTTGACCCCGTACATTTCGGGGATGAGTGAAAGCCAGCACAAGTCCACCCACTCCGTCCGTAGCTATCGAATCCAGCCAACCGTAGATCATCACGCCTTCGTCCGCGGGTTCAGGTGTGTTCAGCTCATACGGATGCATCCGGAAAGTTTCAGTGCACTGAAGAGCGCGAGCCCGACGCGTCTGCTCAGTCGAAAGCAGAGTGGTCATGACCGCTTGCGACGCTGACGGTCCTAGGATGTGGGAGATGATGCTGTGTTTGAGGGCACTCTTCACACCATCAGACATTCGTGGAACACGCATGTTCGTCTGTCCAAGACTCGCCTGGAGACCTTCCAGCAAGGCGTGGTAAGCACAATCCCCATCTCCGGCAGCCTCGTGCGCTTGAGCTTCTCCCGGGGGCGTGAACGTGCGGCGGGATTCCCGTCTCTTGACAACGCAGTTCACCTTGGGAAGACTGGACTCAAACCCCGCCTTGTTGGCCGCGTCACGGCCGAGGCTGTAGGCTTGGGGGCAGGAGCGCTTGGGGTGTGCACACCCCCGTAACTTCGACTTCAGGTTCGGGGCGAAGAGCAGCAGCAGGCAGCAGCAGCAGCAGCAGTAGCCATGATGATGCGGGGGAGAAAACCCGCCAGCATGGCGAATTTTTGTCTTCATCGCACCTGCTGGCGTCTGTGTGTGTGTGTGGTCTGGCGCGCACTCGCGGATCTGCACCGCAGTGGAACTCCCTGCTCGTGTATTACTTGCGTCGGGAACTGTGTGTCTGGTGTCCCCGCGTTCAGACTTCCTCTGAGAACGCTGTCTTTTCGCGCTGTCGAGCCCGCGCTTGCAGTGCGACTTTCGACGAAAAACTTGTGCGACAGGAAGAGTAACAACATTCTTATCGACACTCAGGAGGGGTGTAGTCACAAAAAAGAGTTAGGAACGCGGAACAAGACGTCTCGGAATTCAAGGAGCTGCAGCGGATCGTCAGGCCCTGTAGTACCTCTAATCAAACTCCTCCAGCAAGGCCCGAAGATGGTGCGCTGTTGCGGTTGCTGATCCTGCTATTGCGGTTGCTGTTGGGGCGTGTAGTGCGGAATGTGAACAACAATGGACTTCGTCTTCTGTGCCATGGTGGCGATTGACGCTATCTATACATCTGTGGCTAGAAAGATAGGTCAACGGTGTCTTGTCGATTTGAAGAGTCTATCGCGGATGGCCGGCACCCTGCTCATGTTGCCTTCTTCGTTTTTCGGTTATGCCAGCAGAACTCGGATGCAAATCGAAAAAAACAGGGGAGGATTGGTAGGCATGTTTTGCTTCACAGCATGAGCTGTTTCTTGATGGCACTTGAAACCTCTCATCGCCGCACGTCTACCTGCTCGATGTGCTTACGCTGGTGAGTGGTGACGCAGCTCCAAGTGGTTGTAGAAGGCGCGGGAATATGGAAATATTCACCAGCACCTCGTTCGAGCGAAAGTTGACAACATCCCAGAGGAGTGACCCATTATGGGGAGGGTACTTGATCGTCGTTCCCGGCAGCAAACCCTTCTTTCCCTTCGTTTGCGGTCCAATGGGTACCGTTGATATACGCCACGTATTCCGGACCCCTCTTCCCTTCTCCCGCCCCCTGCCCTATTGATAGGTACGCCTTGACACCGAATCGTACAAAGACGAGCCGCCACGCTACGCTTCTTGATCGGCCGGTCTCGTAGGCTCTGTCTTTTTTCGGTGCGCCCTGGGACGAGCTGTACAACCTTCTGCGGGTACAGCGGTACTCGGAGCCCCCTATGGCGCTTGAGTGCGTACCCGAATGAAACGACCGTGGTATTGACACCTACCGGCCGATAGTGTGGTGTCCGGTGTCATGAATGTTGAAATACGTGACACCGAATGGTAAGAACGCTGACGGTGCCTGTCATGTCATCGAGAATGGCTTCGATTGCGCGCACACGTGTATGTTTCTCCCTAGAGTGGGAGGGGCGAGTCTGATCGGAAAATAGTCTCCCATCAAATATACTTTCAAAATCCATGGCACAGAATGCTGTGTGATAGTTGTTTCAGGTAGCTCGGGTTCAAAGCTTGGGGGATGCGGGGGATACGGTGGTTGTGTGACGATTATGGGTCAGGTCACAATTTTCGAAGGTCCAAGAAAAACACACCTTTGTGACTACACAGCAGCTGCAGGACCCCACCGCGATCGTGAGCCCCGCCGTGCACAAGAATGCGCTCATTGTCGTGGCGGCCGCGCTCCTAGTCCTGTTCGTCTTTCTGTGTAGGGAGGTGCGCCCGATGTACTACGCACGGGTGAATGACTCACACAGTCTTATCAAGGAATACACAGGTTGGGAACTTCTGCCCTACGCACTGGTCTTTGCTAGAAATCCTTGAAACCTTGATTCGCACTTGACTACATCGAGTAATGCGCTGTACTTGTGGTTTCTTCTGCGCTGGGGGATTTGGGATGAGATAACCTCCGCTGACCCCTTCTGAGACATGCACACGGGGACACCCGCTGTAGACGCCAGTTGCAGTGTATGACGTCCCTCTGACTGATCGTCACGTCTGTTATACGTCCCTCGTACCCTATAACGTCCCGACCAGATGACTCTGTCTCTCGGTGGAAGAGAATGTTCCGTTGCATACACCACCTCGAGTATCTCCCGGAATCTAGAACCCGCAAGGCAACACCGTGCAGTTTACAAGATCTGTGACTCCTGGTTTTACCGCATTTGCCCAAATAGAGGTATTTAATCTCGTCACATCGAGCTGCAACACGAGTCGATAGTGTTAGAATCGCCTAGCGGCTGCCGGTTAATATATTGCTGAAAATTGCGAAAGACCCCCGCTAGGCAAATTATTTTGGCGGTGTCACCTGGCATGAGCGGGGAGACGCAATATCTTCGCCAGGAGGCAGACATCAGAGAGAACTTTTGCCGAGCAAAACTTAAACACTTGAGAGCAGTAGCAAATGACGTCGCCGATGCACAACGGTCGATGCCGTTGGGTAATCATGAGCTAACGAGTTTAAAACTCCGCGGACGGTACCTGTGTCATCAATGTCCACAACAATAGCCCCCTCCCAAGTGATACTGTTTCAAGAACTCATGGTATAGGTAATAAAATCCTCACCCTATGGCAGCACACCCGCACCAACAATTAGGCGCCCAACGGAAATCACAACTACCAAGCTGTAGTATGCTCTGCCACGGGACAGGATATCCGTGCTCCTACTTTCCCGTTGCCATGGTTCCACAAGTACAGGTGGATAAACGGACACCTGCATCACGAAATATACGTGAACAAGGAGAGGTGAATCGAGACCACCGCCAGCCATCAGGCCGATGTATGCCTCGGGGTACCAAACAATACAACATACAACAAAATTTGAAGATGGAGATAACTCAAAACAACAAACAAAATCAAGAACTGTGTTATCAACGCAGTACTGATGAGTATAGCCCAACAATGGCACTCTTTCGCAGAGCACTCCCGCACCTTCCCTATTACAGCACACCGGCGATTTTAGGACACAAGTTCACGCAAAAGCAGCAACTAATCCCGTACTACAGAGAAGACGCCCAATAGACTCGTTTCCATACTGAAGTGCGACACAATGTCGCGGAGTGTGAAACAAAGTCACTACAAGTAGCCGACCTACCACCCCATCTTACCAAACGAACGATAACGATTTCCAACAACCTCGACGACCCCCCACTTAAGGACCTCCAGAAGAGCTACGATACGGTTCGCAAACAACAAAAAAAATGGCGATATGCACAGCTTGGTACTCCTCATTTTGGTTCCAAACTCGGCCCGCCCAGAGGCCAACACCCTCTTCTTCCGTGGAACACTGCGAGACTAAGGCACGGCGCTGGATGAAACAGCAGGTTCGATCCGATCGATACATTTACCAGGCTATTGACCACAAACTGGTATCTCAGCTGCAACCATGAGCAAAGAAATCCACGAACCCTGCACAGCACTTCATACGGGCATGCACGTTCACCCCTTCCGCCAGAGTCCTAGCCGCCTGCGAATAATTCCAAGTATGATTTTAGCGCTTGGGCGGAAGTCGTTCACGTCCGCCCCGAACATCTTCCCATACGCCTCGAGCGACTTGCGCTTTGTGGTATTCCGTTGTCGATGTCACATGGCATATTAAACGAAAACGGACGGTGCAGGACGGATACACATATTCGATATACTCGTAGCATAGCATGGGTGTGGTATATTGCGTATACATATGCGGGATTTGCAGTGACGAACTACGGAGGAACAAGTTTTCCTTGGGAGTGTGGTAGATTGGTGGACATTGATGGAGATTCGTTTTGGGTGTTTGAGCGCTATGCGTGACTTGATGCCGTGATGGAATGACGAGCTCAAGCACGCCCCCGATGAATACAACACGTTTTACAACACTTTTTACAGCGCGTTTCTCAACACGTCTGCACGACTTTTACCTACCCCTACCGCCCGTCATGGCCGAGCTGCTCTACACTCCCATCACACACCAATGAGCCACCCGAATTATCGATCACGCTATTAGCGAATGACACGTCGTCTACGAGATTCGCGTCGAGCTTAGTTTGGAGTATCGCTTTGCGGCGATGAGCAGCTGTCACCGATGTCCAGCGCCGACCAAGAACGAGGCGCCCGTCACGCAGAAGACGAGGACGCCCGCATCAACGAGTTGGTGGAGATGAGGGTACAACAACGACTGGCCGACATCAGGCGGCAACAAGAGGAGGAGGAGCAGAGGACAGAGAACGTCCGGACCGGAAGCGAGCACGCGGCACGCCACCAGCAACAAGCGGGGCGGCCATCGGCGAACCCGGCCGTAGATGACATCGCCCGCACTCTCGCCGACGCCCTGACCAGCCGCCTTCAGATATCACCCGCAGACACGGGTAGAGTACCAAGTAGCGCAGCGACCTTTAGAATGAGGTTGAGCGCCTAGCGCCTTAGGATGGGATTTTTAGGCAAGGGGAAGATGAGCAGGCAAGATTTTTGATTTTTCGATCGGACATGATTGCTATGTTTGCGCAAGAAGGAGTCAGGGAAGTGGTATTGAGTGACCACAGAATTCCAGTCGGGCTCGAAGGAATAGACATGGAGGACTTGCGTAGGATGCACTCGCCTGATGATAGCGTAGCGAAGGCAATTACGGCGTGGAACCTGCTGATCACGTCTGTAACATACATGCCAATCCTTACCCAGATCATCGCTGATGGTAGTCCAAGCGGAGGTTGGAAAATTTTCTTGAACTATTACGAGCCGCGTGCCAGAGCGGAGAAGGAAAGACTGTCATCCCAATACCACGGTCTTGAGATGAAAGTAGGCGAGACCCCCCAAGAATACTTCGGGAGATTTGCTGTTTTGCGCAGTAGGCTAGCCTCGCACGGTGTTACTTTCTCCGACGAAGATGCCAATGCCCACATGGTGNTTTTTCCTCAACTATTACGAGCCGCGTGCCAGAGCCGAGAAGGAAAGACTGTCATCTCAAAACCACGGTCTTGAGATGAAAGTAGGAGAGACCCCCCAAGAATACTTCGGGATTTATGCTGTTTTGCGCAATAGGCTAGCCTCGCACGGTGTTATTTTCTCCGTATGCCAATGGCCACATGGTTTACCACCTTTCCGACGAGTACACGATGGAGAAGAAGATTCTGACTATGTGACCGATTCCCCCCTCGCGCGAAAAATCGAAAAGGGTGTACGAGATGCCCATGCGGAATTGCTTCGCCGTCGGGAGGAGGAACCAAAGAATGGCGCGGGGCACGCGTTCGTCGCTTCCGGTGGTATCCGGGGCGATGGACGTGTCCAAAATGGGTCGAGTGGAAACGGCGGGGGACAGGACGGAGACGGAGGCGCCCGGAGTCGGAGCAGGAGCAGAGGGAGAGGAAACAAGAAAGCAGGAGAGAGCGGAGCCGACAGCGACCACTGCTACCTACATCCGCACTTGTCCCACACCAACGCCCAGTNCCGGTGGTATCCGGGGCGATGGACGTGTCCAAAATGGGTCGAGTGCTTCGGAGAGGGAGGCGCCCGGAGTCGGAGCAGGAGCAGAGGGAGATGAAACAAGAAAGCAGGAGAGAGAGGAGCCGACAGCGACCACT